AACCCCAGCACAAGTGGGAAGCTGGCAGTTTCTCTCTCAGCCTGGGCTGGCTGTGCCCTTGCCAGCCCTGCACCTGCCTGTGCTGGCAGGAGGTTTCTGTGCCACCCACCAGCCCCCTGTCCCAGTTCCCTACGTCCCACCAGCCAAAGAGCCCCTGTGGTGGCAGGCACGGCCACACTGACCATATCCTCACTCCGAGAGCAATAGCTGACCCCAGGGCCGGTGCCTCCTCCCTCCAAAGCACACGGGCCCTGCCCTGGCCCCAGAAGCACACGATGTGGCCAAGCTGGGCCCCACTCATGCCCAGCAAGGCCAGGAGTGCCAGTGCTGGCTCCCCAAGGAGGTGACCCTGTGCTTGGCACCCGTCCTTGTCTCTGTCCCAGCGTGGGGACAGCCCTGCCCCTACCTCCCGGGAGATGCTGTGAGGCTGAGTGAATGTCCCTAAAGCACTTTCAGTTCTCCAGTGAAAGGCAACGCTGCTGCTCACCTGCCGTGCACAGCCCTCCGATCCCATCCCAGTTAGGAGCTTCCAGGAAGTTACTGATGATTCCCAAAATCAAAGGTGTCCTCAGCAGCCTGGACAATCAGGTGGCAGGTGCACCCATAGCCTGCAGAGTGCCAGGCTCTGGAGGGACCCCGAGGCCATAGCTCTGCATTTCACTGTGCTCAGACAGCCCAAGCATGACCTGTCTGGGACTGTCACCGCGGCGCTCTGGGTGCCCAGCACGCTGCTGTACATAGAGAGAGTTGCATCCCAAATGGACCTTTCTCTGGAGGAACACCCCACCCTGATCTATGCAATCCAGGGGGCAGCTCACCCGCCACACTGGCCGCCTGCGATTCCCTTTGGTGCTGCAGCTGGAGCAGTGGTGGCAGCAGAAGAACCAACATGACACTGAGCTCTGTCCTGTCCCCAGCCCAGGGTGCTGGCTCAGACCTCTGCTGTGACTCCCATTCCCTCCCAGCCCTCGGGAAGAGGCAGGCTGGTGTGTGCACCTGGGAATCCACACGCACAAGCACACATATCTGACGTCTTGGCCACAAGCAGCGCCTGGATTTCAGAAGGATTTTGCCCAGCGTGCTCCACCGATGCTCAGGATGGGGCCTGGCACGGGAAGGTGAACAGGAAGGGGCCGATGGGTGACTCAGATGGCTGAAACATATCTGCTTCCCAGGGCTGGAGCCTTGGCAAGGGCAGGAAAGCTGCAGGAAGGAGCTCACACCTGCAGGGTCCGTGGGCAGCACCAACCGTGGAGCCACCACTGCGCTCCTGCCATGGAGACAGGAGAGTGAGCGAGCCCCTGGGTGTGAATTCACCTGCTCAGAGCACCCCCTCCCCAGGGAAGGAGGAGAGTGGGAGAGAGCACCACGAGAAGAGTGAGCAGCTGTGTGTGGAGACAATGGAAAGGTCTTGCAGCAGTGGTGGGATATGTGAGGGAAGCAAGGCTCCCTGCAGAAACGGCTTTGCCAGGGATAGGGAGATGGTCCCACAGCCCAGGGGACACAGAGGGACCCCACATCCCAGGGGACAGGAGCCTGTGCTGGTGGGGCCCCAGGGGACAGGAGATGCTGCCCCTGTTCCCCAGTGCCAAGCAGCCCATGGCTGGCACGTCCCCAGTCACCCCTGCCCGTGTCACTGTGCCCTTCCCAGGCCCTTGGGGTCACCCCCAGTCCAGCCACCGCAGCAGGACAGTGGGTCCCCTCCTGTGCCATGAGCCCCTGGTGCTGTGCCCAGCCCCTCAGAAGTTTGGGGAGCCTGGAGCAGCTGGGCTGCAGCTTGCAGAGACACGTGGCACCAGTGGGCCTGTTCCCCTCCATCGTTCCAAAAAGCCTGTGCTGGAGCCATGGCTGCTCCTTGCCCCTCACCAGTGGAGTCCTGACACACTCCTGTTCTTGGCACTTTAACCCTGTGAAAGCCATTCCTTCTAGTGACAGTAATACTGCAACGAGCTGCATAAGAAACCCCCGTTATGGCATCCCCCCAAATCCCCTCCTGCTCTCCAAAGCATTTACTGCCTTTGACTTAGCACATGCTGTACTAGGAGTAGGGATAGTCCATAGCGCTCGGTAACGTGTGCCCCTCTGTAAATAACCTTGGAGTGATGTGAAATTTGATTCAAAACACCAGAAAAAAAAAAAAAAACCAAACCCAAAATGGAATATCCAGACTCTAGGGACTTGGCCAGTACCCTCCTGTAATGTTCATTGTATATTTTTTTGATGTACTATAACTGTTGGGAAAAAAAAAAAGGAAAATATTTTGATAACCGAATCTCATTGCTTTATTGTGTTACTCGGTAAATAAAAGGAACAAGTATAAACACACTGGGGCTTTTCATCAGTTCTTTTCCTACATCCAGACTACCTGAAGGGAACAAGTGTTGCCGGGTAGGGCTGGGACACCTGTGCCTTGTTTTAAGGTGGTTCTGAGAAGAGGCAGCATTGTGGCAGGTGGGCAGTGAGAGCTGCCACAGCCCAAAGCATCTGAGCTGTGCAGGGTAAGTACAGTTCCAGCTCCTCCAAGGATCGAGGTATGCAGGTGAAGCACAACCCCATCTCCTCCAAGCTCATGGCTGAGTCTGCACTCAGGAAGAGGAGGGCTGGAATGGTGCATTTGGGCACCCTGCCCTCAGGAAAAGCACCTGTCCTGTTCTAGGCATTCCCTGGGGCAGCATGTCTGGATATTCCAGTGCATAAAGGAGCAGTGGACACTGCCAGGGTAAGGGACAAGCTGCCAGGGAGCAGCACAGAGCCAGCTGGGGCAGGGCAAGGAGAGCTGCTTGGCTGGAGGCAGGGCCAGCAAACAGGCCCTGCCCACATGTTGCCAGGAAATAGAAAAAGAGGGAGGTGCTCCCTCCAGATGTGGAGCTGATGCCCATGCTCCAGCCAGCCTGTGCTGTGCCTCTGTTCCACTCTCCCAGCCTACACCCGAGAGCAGAAGGGGTCATTGAGTGAATCCTGACCTTCCTGTAGCACTTCTGACAGCTGCAGGGGCTGGGCAGGGAGAGGAGTGGCTCCTGTCCCACTGCCTCTCTCATCCACCAGGACCATCCCTAGCCCTGGGATGACTGTTCCTCCTGGCCACCTGCTTCCCACAGGCTCTGTGACACCAGGCAGGACTCAGCAGGAGGAGTGTGCGAGGGAAGCAGGGAGGTGAGGAAGAGCAGGTGGCAATGGAAGGGAAGGGGAAGCAGGCTCATCCATCCATGGACCCACTGCCCTTGTTCTTGCGGCTCAGGGGAAAGGCAGACTTGCTCTGTGGCTGGGTCATCTTGCTGGCCAGGTAGATGAAGGGCTCGATCAGCGTGCGCCGGTCAGCCACGGACACCTCCCACAGCTTCACCTTCTCGCCCTTGGCCCAGTGCTGGGCTGCATCGTGGTCCACCCGCCGCTGCTCCTGCAGGTCACACTTGTTGCCCAAAACCACAATGGTGACCTGTTCCAAAAGGGTGAGAAGGGCCCCTGACGACCAAGCACGGAGCTGCAGGGCTGGCTGGCTGGCTGGCTCTGGGACCCTCTGTGGTGGGCCTGGCCTGCCACTGATTCCATGTCAAGGCCTTCTGAAACCCAATGATCTCAGCGCTCCCTTCTCCTCCTGCTGGGGTCTGTGTGCCCCAAACCAGCCCCAAAGCAGAAGGAGCCTTTGAGCACCTGTATGCTCAGAGAGCATCCCAGAAGACAGCCTGTTACTGCTGGGAGTCTCCCAGATCAGGGACCCATCAGAATCTTGTGACAGGCTGGAGAAACCAAAGGTGACAACCTGCCCAAGGGGAGCAGATCCCACTCTCCCGGGGCGACTCACCTCCTTCTTGTCCTTGGACTTGTCGATCTCCTTCTTGAGCAGCTCGACACGCTTGAAGGACTCCTTGCTGTCGGTGCTGTAGACCAGCACGTAGCCGTCGGTGCAGGAGAAGCAGTGCTTGGGCAGCTCCAGCCCGTCCCGCAGCCCCCGCGTGTCGTAGAAGCGCACCTGCTCCCTCACGCCGCGGTCGGTCTCGATGGAGCCCACGTAAATGTCCTCCTGGGTCTCGATCATCTCCGAACCTGCCGGGGGTGGGCGGGGGACACCTGGGAACGCTGCCGGGGCCCTGGCACAGCGCGCCCGGTACGTGTGGGGGTGACCAGGGACAGCCCAAAGGGATCCCCGGACCGGCACTGCCCAGGGCCCGCTACACCCGGGGGAGCCGCCGCACTCACCGACCACATGGTTCCCGTAGAGCAGCTGCTCCAGGATGGAGGTTTTCCCCACCGAGGCCTGCCCGCACACCACCACCTTGCAGCTCTTGCCCATCCCGCCTCACCGCGGCGGCCGCGGCCGAGCCTCAACGGCGGCGGCGGGGGGAACCGGCGGCACCACAGCGCCCCCCTGTGGGCGGGCGGACCGCGGGACCCGGCGCTGCCCTGCGGCGGGCGTGGCGCGGGCTGTGTAAGCCCCGTCCACCCCCGGTGGAGTTCCACCTCCCTCCCGGTACCGGCCCCTCCCGATGCCGCCGCCTCGCTCCTCCGCCGGCGCCCCCTGCCGGTCAGGCCCCGCCCCGCCCTACCGGCGGAGATCCAGCCCGTTCCGGCCCTCGCCCCGCCCCGCCCCGCCCCGGTCCGGCCCAGCCCCGCGCGGTAAGATGGCGGCGGCGGCGGCTGAGGCCGAGTGCGATGTGGTCATGGCGGCGCCCGACGGGCCCGGCGAGACCGACAGCGACGAGGAGGCGCGCAGGTAGAGCGGCGGCCCGGGCGGGGAAAGGGCGGCCCCTGTCCCTGCCGGTGGGCGGGCCGCGGCCCGGCCAGGCTGCAGTGCCGCAGGGCCCGGGGCCGCGGTGCTCGGCAGGGCCGGGAGCGCGCCCGGGGACTGCGGTCGGTGCCGGCCCGGGCGGACCCCGCGGGCACAGCCCTGTGTGCAGGGCCGGCCGGGAGCGGTGGGGCTCCGCAGCGGGGCCCGGCGGGCCGTGACAGCCGCGGGCCGCACGCGGCGGGGCCCGGGAGCCGCCGCCGGGTTTGCGGTGCGGTGCCGGTGTGTCCCGGTGAGCTCCCGGGATTAGAGCAGCCACCCGTTACCGGGGTGTGCCAGCAATGCGGTTCACACCCCGTGTCCCGAGGCCACACGCCCGCACCGGTGTCGGGGAGCGCGTCCTCCCCCTCGCTGAGGGGGAAAGGATTAAACTCGTGGGAAGGGGAGGCTCCAAACTCCTGAGCCCTTTGCTGCTCCATCACCGCATTCCCCCGGCTCTGCTCCGTTTGAAATCCGTGGGTTCCGCTCCGTCCTGCCTTGCTGCGGATAACGGGAACGATGCAGAACGCTGCTCCATCATCCCGGGGCTCCCGGTTTGTCCGTGCCGTGCCCTGAGGAGCTGCCAGTGTCACCTGAGGCAGGGCGAGGTGGGATCCCCACCTTTCCCACTCGTTTTCCCCTCAGGAGTGACTGAGCTGTGAATCTCTGTCCTGGAAACTCTGCTGGTTTTCCAGAGTGGCAGGTGCTGGGTTCATACCCCTGGAAGGAAAGAGCTGTTCCTGGAGGAGCTGAGGTGTTTGCTCTGGAAGATGATTCAGTGGAACGAAGAAGAGGAAACAAAACCAAAAGTGGCCTCTGAGGAATGGTGGTTTCAGGCTCCCGTTGATGGCTCGAGGGATTCTGTGGAATTGAGGCCCGAGGAGCAGCTCCCTGGGGAGATCCTGCTGAGCAGGAGAGGAGGAGCTGCTGAGGAGGCACTTGGGGCTGGCAGAGCACGGGCATCGCCCAGCCTGTGGGGCTGGGACAGGCCTGTGTGGGCACAGCACTCCCAGGCTGTGGGAGCACAGCACTCCTGCCCTTGGGCAAGCAAAATGTGCTGTTTGAAATGGTGGAAATTCACAGGTAAAACCCTGGCTGAAGGCACAGGTGTCTGCAGGTAGTGACCTTCAGCTCCTTTCTTCCTTCCTGAGGCCGTGCTCTGCACTGCTTTCATTAGGTGCTTTCACAAGGTTTCCTTTTCGTGTTCTTTTGGGAATGTTGCACCTTTCCCTTGCTGAAATGGATCCATATGGGCAGGAGCTGATTCCTTGGTGTTGCCCTGGGGGAGCCAGCCCTGCACACCCCGATTTCTTTGCAGTTCTGTGCATTGACCTCTTCCCTAGCCCTGCCCTTTGTGTTTCACTGTGGTAGCTCAGTTGCTCTTGTGAAAATCAGAGCAATAATTGCTGTACTGGGGAGTGGAGCTGCAGCCTCAGGACGTGTCAGGTGTTTGTGAAACATCCCAGGCCAGGTAAGAGCTGGGTGAGCTCTACATGGGACACACTGATTTGGTGCAGCCTTTAGGATGTATCTGCCCTCACGTCCATAAAAATCAGCAAAAATAAATGAAAACCTTTTCAGAATCCTTATGATAACTCAGCAACGAGGGTTCCAGGTTCTGTTGTTTCCATTTAGGGATTACAGTATGGCAGAATATGGATACTTTGCTCAAGGACTCACCTTTGTCCAAATGCACAGTTCTGTTCCCTGTGGCTTAATAAAACTGGAAAGTTAGAAAACAAGCAAAAGGGGAGATCTGCATTTCAGAATGGCTGTAACTAATGCCCTGAAGCAGCTGCAGACATGCCAGAGGGCTCCCAGGGTGTCCAGGGCACAGGAATGGAGTGTGGTCACAGGATAATTATTGTCTGCTGCTGCCTCATGGATTGTTGGGGTCCTGGCAGAAAGTGTTGATGTAATTGTGTTAATTTTATCTGCTGGTGCACCAGTGCTGAGCAGCTGATGAGCAGGACTGGGCCACCCCTAAAAACTCACTTGTTTCTTCATTAATTTTAAAGGTTTCTCACCCATGGGAACAGTTTCTCCCTGCTCCCAGCTGCTTTGTGAGCTTGGGCCTCTGGAGCTTTGCCAGGGAGAATTTCCTTGTCATCTTCCTGGCACCTCTGGGTTCTGGCTCCCGTGCATGCTCCAGGCTGGATCTTTCTCCTCCTCCTTCAGCACTGGAGCATATGGAAGCTTTGTTTTCTTAAAAAAACCCTCCAGCTGTCAGGAAAATACTGCTAGGAAATTGCAGAGCCCCTGCTGCAGGCTTGGGATGTGTTGGTGCCTCTGTGGGGGCATCCACATTTCCCACAGCAAAGGGATGAGCACGGAGTGACCCACAGGGTCCTGGAGCTTCTGGGCCTGGCCAGGCTGTGGGTCACTGGTCTGCAGGTGTTACCTGGAGCTTGGCAGGTGGTGGTGAGCACCAAGAGGCTTTTCCAGTGCATCTCAGTGAGGCCCCTCCAGAATAAATGTAATTTCTGGCCAGTGTTGGGGCAGCGCTGGCAGGAGGGGGTGGATCATCTGAGGGGCACCAGGTCATTCTGGGATAAGCTGGAAATGACTTTCCTATTCCTGTTCTGCCTGTAGATGGACACTTGGACTTCCCAGGTGACAAACCAGCCCATTTTACTCATCTGGAATTATTTTATGATCTCCTGATCATACCAGAAGCAGCAGAAGGTACTCAAGTAATTATTTGCTTCCCTGTGCATCTGCAGAGTATTTGAATATCTAAGTTAGGCAGTTGATTTATCCAGTAGGAAAAGGTGATCCATACCTACAGTTTCACCCTATTTCCTTAACATGAAATGTGCTTTTTTGAGGTAAATCATAATGTACATGCAGTTGTTTTCCCATGGAATTCTTAAACTGGTTGGCTTCCTTCATTCCAAAGGAATTTCAAAAAAAAAGCTTCCTTCAAAAAAAAGCAGTCTCAGGCTGATTCTAGACCCTTCCATGGGTTTTCACAGGAGTTACACTGTGGCCCTGCCAGGCAGGATGGGGCCATTGCTGGGAATTAGGTTAATTCAGAGCTCTGGGAATTACATAACAGTACAATTAAAGCTGGGGCTCGGCTGCTCTTCTCACTCATGGCTGCAGGGAAGGTTTGGGTCAATCCTTGGATTTCTTGGGGCGTATTTTGGTTCTTGTGGCTCTTTTGGCCTTCTGAGTTTGCCCTCAGTTACGAGGAACCTTCTGAGGGTTTGAGCACCTTGTGGGTTCAGGTTCAGCTCTGCTCTTGAGAGGCTCAAGGCAGCCCTTTGTTACTTTTCCATGGGTGAATCCTTGGCCCATCCTTGTGGAGATTTGTGTGTCCACACTTGGGTTTCTGAGCTGGGGGCTGTGTTGAGTCTCTGCCGCGGTGTCTGTGCATTGGGGGGAGCTGATGTGCCAGGAATCAGCTCTGCTCTGCCCAGCAGGGCACAGAGCCTGTCACACAGCAGTGTGTGTGACCACTGCCCTGTCCCAGTGCCCACACACCCTCTGGGGGAAGCATCTTTTCCTAAAATCCAACCCAACCCTCCCTCACCCAGCTCCAGCCATTCCCTGGGGTCACCAGAGAGAAGAGCTCAGTGCTTGTCCCTCTGCAGCCCCTCGTGAGGAAGTTGTAAATATATATATTCCTTTATATGTAATATGTAATATATTCCTATATTAGTATATGTAATATATTCCTATATATGTAAATATATATTCCTTTATTTCTATATATGCCTAAATCCTCTCTCAGTGTCAAACCTCACCTGAGGACAGGTCTCTGTGTATCTTTCTGGCACAGGGAGTGTTTTGTTGCTCTTCCAAGTCCTGAAAGAAGGGAGGGGAGAGTATTGTATGTCCAGGGGCAAACATGATGGCTAATTTTAAGCTCTAGACATCTGCCTGCTGTAAACTGAATTGAGATCACCCAACTTATTTTACCCCAGCGGCTGAGTCACATCTGACAGCTGAGAATCTGGGTGGGATTTCACCCCCAAAAATGCCTGATAAAGGCACCATATCCTATTGATGGAAAAGCCTCTGCAAGAGCTGCACAAAATTGCCAGAGCATAACAGGAAAGATTACTTGGTCGGGACAGGATTTTGGAGACTTCCTTAAATCCTGGTTATTTTAGGGTTTTGCACAGTTTCATAATGGAGGCAGGCAGTGAAGTGGGAGTGAGGGTCAGGAGAGCTGGGAGATGGTGACTCTGCCACCTGCTTAGGTGTTGGATTTCTGTCCCTGGTGGTATTGCCTTGCCCAGGGGCTGTGCCAGCACACCTGGATCAAGAGCTGCTGGCTTACAGATCCCTGAAGGTTCCCATGACAGAAAATCAGGTGTCTGCAGGAGTCTCATGGGGAGCTGGAGTGGGAGGTGGAAGCCACGATCGGCACTCGCGCGGGGGGCAGCGTGTGGAAGCTCTGAGGAGGAGGCAGGAGTTGTTAGGCAAGCGTGGGATTGTGTCACTGTGTGCAGGATGGCTTCTCCAAGAGCTGCTGTGCTGGGAACGAGCAGGGGCTGAGCTTTCACAGGGCACAGGGAGGAGAAGGAGCCTTGTGCTGGTTCCTCTCTCCATCCTCACAGCTCGAGCGTGCGCGGGAGCCTCAGCGCGCGCAGCTGCTGCTTGAATTCCTTGGTCTCCAGCTGTGCCAGGAGAGGTTCAGCTTGGACATCAGGTGGAATTTCTTCTCAGAAAGGGTTGTCAGACATTGCCCAGGGAGCAGTTGGAGTCCCCATGTTCAAGGAATGGCTGGACATGGCACTCAGTGCTCTCTCTGGTGTGGTTGACAAGGTGGTGATCGGTGTCTAAGATCTCAGAGGTTTTCTCCAACCCAAATGATTCCTTGGTGGCAGGTTCTCTGGAGTGACTGGGACCAAGTGCTTCAAGTATTAGAGATGCTGAGAAATACCATAAAAGAGAAAAAAAATTATTGCATTGCTTGCAGGAAGTGTCACTCCCACCAGCCCCTCCTGTGCCTGTGAGTGATGAAAGACAAGCTTCTTACCCAGCTCCTTGGTGCAGCTCCTCTGTGTTTCTGTGTCCAGCATGGAGCAGCCCAGTGAAGACACCAACCCTGTCACAAAGACACCCATTCAGCTGGGGGTGTATTTCAGCAAAGCACGATTCTTCTTCAGTGTCAAAAGTAGCAAGTGGGGAGTGCAGGCCCCAGCAGCGCAGGAGGCAGAATGAGCTCATTCAGACCACAGCATCTGTTGGGTTGAAACAATCCCCAGTGAGATCAGGGGCTGCAGTTCTCCTTGTTGGAGCCAGAGCATGGTAAACAAGGGCTGTGTGCTCTGGATGTCAGCAGGGCACAGCAGGGCAGAGCTGCTCCTGTCCTGGTGCTGGAGCTCAAGCCCAGCCTGACAGCTCCAGCAGGTCCTTTGCCTCCGTGCTGTGGAGGTGATTTGCTTTCCCAATCTTCATTGGAGGTGATTTGCTTTCCCAATCTTCACTGGAGGTGATTTGCTTTCCCAATCTTCACTGGAGGTGATTTGCTTTCCCAGTCTTCATTGGAGGTGATTTGCTTTCCCAGTCTTCACTGGAGGTGATTTGCTTTCCCAATCTTCATGGTTAAGCCTTAGGCCATGTAAGCAGCAGAAATACCTGTGCTCTCCTTTCTGCCACTGTCACCCCAGGCACTGTGACTTGTTGATACATTGATCTGTATTAAATTGCTTAAAAGGAAAACAGACCAATAAAAAAAGAGTAGAAAACAGTAATCTCTGTGTGGGAGTGTTTCTCTGGCATCTCAACGTGCCGGTGCTTTCTGAAAATTGGTTTTGCCTGGGTTATGTTTTCTTTCTCCCATTTTCCCAGCAGTTTGTGGCAGATGGGGTGCTCTGGCAGCCAGCCTTTGGCTGTGTCTATGAGATGGTAATTCTTCATGGCAGGACAGGTAAAATGGGTAAAAGAACCTGTGATTCAGCCCAGTGTGCTGGACAGGTTGTGGTGGTTACTCAGGTGAGTTCTGCCATTAAGACTGTTCACTCGTTTCTTTAGACTGTACAACAAAGACCTGAGGGAAGGAGCTTTCATAGGATCTGTGATTTTCTTTTCTATTTGTGATTACAGAAACAAGACAACAGTGAAACTCTCTACTGCCCGGGTTCCAAAAGTGCACAAGTGCTGAGTAGTTTTTCCACTGCATTCAGATATTTGATCTGTAATATTCAAAACAGGTGGTTGTGTTTGGAAACAGTTTAATCATGCAAAGTTTGCATCCTGATGCTTGTGATATGGATCTATCCCACAGGCATAGTTGCACATCAGTGTAGCTGGGAGAGTGCAGAGCTCCTGGGGCTCTGCTGGGCAGTACCTGAGGAAAAGCCAGGCTGCAGCACCTGCCTCAGGTGTGATGCTGGGAGGGGCTGGGGCAGAGGAGGGATGGCAGTTTCCCATCTCTTCATCATTTTCTGGAGCAGGAGTGAGAGGAGCTGACCCAGGAGCCAGGACAAGGCCCTTGGGGGACAGTGGGTGTGTGCTACCCCTTGCTCTGCCCCAGTTCTTACCCATCTCATCTCCTTCCAGGGTTTAACTCCCACAGGGCTGTGGCTGGACTCAGCTGGGGTGCAGCACACAGCAAAACTTAAAACTGAAAGTGAAGAGCACATTTCCCAGCTCCCAGTGTCCATTGTTCTGCCAGCTGGGAAATCTGTGATGGCTCAGTGAAAACAAGCCCTGCATGAGGTGCTTGTGTGGGAATGGCCAATGGCAGCCTGAGCAAGGCTGAAAACATGGGAACTTGTTCCAACACAATTCCCTTTGTTCTCTCCCAGGTCAGCCTGCTGAGCACTGCTCACATTTGCTCTTCCATCACTGTGATGTGCTCTCCCTCTTGCCCTGTGCAGGTGAAAGGCTGAAGGGGGATGAGGGAAGAGAAGGGCCTTGCTTTCCCTCAGGGGAAGCTTTGCTTTCGAGAGTTTAAGGGAAGCTGCTTCAAACCGTATGTTGTGTGTTTTTAAATGTCCCAAACTGTCTCTGCAAATGCTTGCTCTTGAGTGTGAGGACTATTTCTAGACCTGTTGCCAAGGCAGTGCCAGGCTTCTGTTGCAGGCTTGTACCCATATTTCTCTTTGATTTAGCTGTCTTTTGAATGTGGAAATTGTTCTTGGCTCTGGTTTATAAGTATGTGGGACTCCTGAAAGCGCCAGCACTGTCTCTTTTGTTCTGAGGTGCAGCCCCCTTGCAGGAGGGGCCTGTTGGATGAACTCCATATCATGGAGTTCTGCTGGACTCTGAGGGGACTCAAAGATGGCTTTAGGCTTCTGTTGCATCCCTGTAAAATTTGGCCAGGAAATATTCCTGAGTATCCCAGGTGGAGTAGCTGGGAGCCAGCAGAAAATGGGGTGTGCTGGGCAGTGTGTGCTGAGGAGATCTCAGGAGAACCAGCTTCAATTTGGAACAGAATTAAACAGTTACACTGCTTGGGGGTCAGATGCATGTCATGGTCACAATCTGTCTGGTGCTCAGTTCTTCTGAAAACGTGGTGTTTTGCTTCCTTTCAGAGAAGCAGAAGCATTCAAGGAGCAGGGAAATGCATACTATGCCAAGAAAGATTACAACGAAGCGTTCAACTACTACACAAAAGCCATAGGTGAGAACAGCTGATAATATCAATCTTTACTGAACACCATGTCTAAAACTGGAGCTGGTTGCTGATTTCAGACACACCAGTGGGGTTTCTGACAGCACATGCTGAAGGCAAACCTCTTGCCTGCTTTAATTACCTTGGGAAATGTCACCAGATCGATAATGCCAGTCAGGGCCAATGTTCTTAAGTGCCACAAACTGTGCAGCTGCTGCATTACACTGATAATGAGCCTTGCATTTTCTCCAGATACATGTCCCAATAATGCCAGTTATTATGGGAACAGAGCTGCCACGCTCATGATGCTGGGGAGGTTCCGAGAAGCGCTGGAGGACGCTCAGCAGTCAGTCAGGTTGGATGACAGCTTTGTACGGGTACGTGGAGAGCTTCAGGCACCTCTTTCACTCCCTTCTCTGCACCTGTTACAGCTCTTGCAGATCCCTTTTCCCTGTGTTCCCAGGGCCACCTCCGGGAAGGGAAGTGCCACCTTTCCCTAGGGAATGCCATGGCTGCCAGCCGCTGCTTTCAACGAGTTTTAGAACTGGATCATAAAAATACCCAGGCACAGCAGGAGGTAAGGGAACCTTCAGATTGAATTGTCCTCAGGAGATGCTCAGGAGGCTGAGCTGGCCAAAGGAGAAATGGAGAGTGGTGGAAGGCAGCTGGCCTTGTGTCTCTTTCACAGGGTGCATTTTCCTGGACTCTCAGTTCAGTCACTTTATTTCAAACTGATTTTAATGCTGGCAAAAGCATTCATGTCATCTGCATTATTGGTCCATGGTCTGCAGTAGTTTTGGCTGTGACATTCAGGGGTTGGCTGTTGAAATGCTGCTTGGTGGCATTTCAGAGCAGACACTGTCCTGCAGCACTCATGTGTTCTGTCTTTCAGCTGAAGAATGCCACGACTGTGCTTGAGTATGAAAAAATAGCTGAAGTGGATTTTGAGAAACGGGATTTCAGGAAGGTGAGATGAACTTGTTTGCTGTGGTCTTATTTAAAAACTGCTGTGTTTGACATGGCCCAGGCAGGTGTGGGGCTGTTTCCTGGCTGGGTATTTGGGAGGTGCTGTGCCACATCTGTTGCAGCAGGGCTGGCTGGTGAATTGTGCCAGCTCTGGAAGTGGCAGAGCTTGTGCTCCCTGAGCACTGACCAAATGACAAGTGAGGAGGTGACTGGCTCAGGCCAACCATCTATCACTGTTTGCTTTGCAGGGTGAGGGGAGTCATGATTGAGCTGTTGGAGACAGATTTTGTCGGCAGCAGCATTTGATCACACTCTGCTCCTGAAATGCATCTCCAGGATTCTTCTTTCTCAACTCTTTCAAAGAAAAAAAAAAATTTAAAAAAGGCATGCTGTGTGCCAGTAAGGGTCATACAAGGAGAAATGCAGATCTGCATGGGGCATTCTCCTTACAGCTTCCAAATCTTTCTTCCCAAGGGTTGTAACAGGATGCAGCTGGTACTGACCTGATAGAACAAGAAATGACAGCATGAAATCTGAAAGGCACCAGGCACTTCTCATGCAACTGTTTCTGTGCAGTGGATGCATGTAAGGCTCAGATTTATCCCAGCAAAGAGATTGTCCAGTACATTGAGCTCATTGTTCAGGTCACTCTTAGGCTAAGCTCAAGATTTTGGAAGGGTAAATCCCAGCTTTGTATCACCTGTTTCTGAGGAGCAAATGGGATGTGGGATCAATCTGAATTTCCTGTGTAGGAATTGCCCTGCCTGGGCATCTGCATCTGTCCCTCACTTCCCCAGTCCCACTTCACTGACATGAAACTTGATCTTTGTTTCTGGAGAGCTGCTCCTGTCTCACCCAGGAGCCCTTGGCTCTGGAGCACAGTGCTTCCCACAGCAGGGCCGTGATGTCACGGGCTGAGGAGCAGATGAACCTTGGGGAACAATGCCCTGTTCTTGCACAGATGTCCCCACCAGAGTGCAGGCATGGAAAAGACCCATTAGCTCACCCTGCCCATGGCTGTCAGGCCAGTGGAAGATCAGTCCTTGCACTGTACTTCTCTCTGTTTTGTCCAGTCCAAACTGTCTCAGTCTATTGAATTTCTGTCCCTCCCACGTGGCTTTATACTGCAGGAAACAGGGGCAGGATTGTCCTTCTTGGTTCTTTCTTTGGGGCTTGCAGTTTAGAAGGGTTAAAGGGATGGACTTCCTACAGGTGTCCCTTGAATCTTGTGTAGTGCTCTGTCACAGTAACACAGCAGGTGCCTCAGAACTTGGCACACAAAGCACAACCTTTGAAAAACATATCAGGAAAACAGCACAACCTTTGAAAAAGGTATGCACTTTAAAAAGCATAACAGGAAAGTAGCACAACCTTTCAAAAAGGTGTGCACTTTGAAAAGCATAACAGGAAAGTAGCACAACCTTTCAAAAAGGTATGCACTTTGAAAAGCATATCAGGAAAATTTTCCAATGCAATGTGTCTCCAGCATTAATAATTGGAAAAAAAAATCCTAGATGGAGACACAGAAAACAGTGAGGTTTTCCCAGATTCTTCACACCTTTCATTAGCCTGAGGTCATGGTGCAGAATTTGTTCTCTGTGTGGGGTTCACTCTCTTGTCTGTGATGTTGTAGCTTAGGAAACTCAAAGAAGCAGTGGAGATGGGTGTCTGCCCTCACCTTCCTGATCAAACACAAGCCTCAAGCATGGGCCAGCAGTTCAGACCAGGCCCTTGGCTCTTTGCTGTGCTCAGGGCTGTGGTTTCTCCCACCCCAGGTCGTGTTTTGCATGGATCGTGCTTTGGAGTTCGCTCCTGCCTGTCACCGCTTCAAAATCCTCAAGGCCGAGTGTTTGGCACTGCTGGGCCGGTACCCCGAGGCACAGTCTGTGGCCAGGTGAGTGTCTGAGGGCTGGGGGTGAGGGGCACCTGCTGGGAAATCCTGGCTCCATGCCTGCAGTAAGTGAGGGAATAGAAAATACAAATATCCCTTAGTGTGTGTTCACAGAGGTCCTGGGACGAGGGAAGAGATGAGAATCTTGACTCCATGTTTCAGAAGGATGATTTATTATTTTATGATAGGTATTATATTAAAAGAAAGGGGTATATTAAAACTATACTAAAAGAATAAAAGAAAAGGATTTCATCAGAAGAGTTAAAAGGAATGGAATGATAACAAAATCTTGTGACTGACCAGACAGTCCAAGACAGCCAGACTGTGATTGGCCATTAATTAAAAACAACCACATGAGACCAATCAAAGATGCACTTGTTGCATTCCACGGCAGCAGATAATTATTGTTTTTCTTTTCCTCTGAGGCTTCTCAGGAGAAAAATCCTGTCAAAAGGATTTTTCATAAAAAGATGTCCGTGACACTTAGTGCACGTTATGGGAAACAGATTTGTAGAGAGCTTTTAGGGCTTGACAGAAAGCCCACACAGCATTGCATCCACATGGAAACTTTGAGACAAGAAATGCTGGGAAACTGTCAAAACTTTGAGACAGATATTGGTGAGAGAGAAAGGGAGCTAGAAAAAAGTTTCAAAAGATGGCCTTGCAAATAAGGCTAGATACTTTGGAGAAATAGAACTATGAAAGGTGCACTGTAGTAGGATCCATGAGGGGCAGTTTTAGATGATTGGCTTTATGGCATCTACAGCATGATGTGACAAAAGCTGATAGGCCAAGAAACATTTATAATGTATTGTAATTGGGATATAGTTGGCTTCTGATTGTGGTGGTGTGAATTATAACATCTGTGTTGTCTCACCCTTCTCATGAGACTGAAAATAAAATAAATAAAATAAAACTTCTAAAATGCCTCTCAGTTGCCCCATCTCTGAGTCAGGAAAAAGGTATTGTCCAACAAAGGTGATGAGGAGGCAGTGTGTGAATTTATCCCCATGAATCTTCTAGGAAGCTGCATCCAGACCCCATTCACAACCAGCCATCCTGCTTGAGGAGGCTTCTGTCCTTTTACCTTACCTGTACCACAGACTTGTTAAAATAACTGGGTACTGTCACTGTCATATTTTCTGAAAAATCCTCTTTGCCCAGGATTCTTCTCCTGGGAAGCTGAGAAGCCTCAGAGAAAAAGGAAAACAATATGATCTCATTTGCTTCTCCTGTGTTTTGCTGCTTTGGAATGTGGTTTGGAGATTTTTTTTTTAATCCAACAGGTGAATTGTTTTGACTTAATGACCAATCAGGGCTCTGGAGAGAGTCATGGATTTTTCATTAGTATCTTCTTAAGCCTTCTGTCTGTATCCTTTCTCTATTCTTTAGTATAGTTTTAGTATAGCATTCTTTAATAGACCATAGTAACACAAAATAATAAATTCACCTTCTAAGAACATGGGGTCAGATTCCTTCATTCCTCCTCCAACGGGGGACCCAGTAAATACCCCAGGGAGATATTTTCTCAGTGGAGGGAGGTGCTTGTGGGGGTCAGGAGGCAGCAGGAGCAGGGCAGATGTCCTTTATTTCTGTGTTGCAGTGACATCCTGAGGATGGACTCCACCAACGCCGACGCGCTCTACGTGCGCGGGCTGTGCCTGTACTACGAGGACTGCATCGAGAAGGCCGTGCAGTTCTTTGTGCAGGCCCTCAGGATGGCCCCTGACCATGAGAAGGCCTGTCTTGCCTGCAGGGTAAGTGGTGAAAATGGGGCTGTAAAATCACCAGGGTTTGGGTTTTTTAAACCCAACGCATAGTTTGGTTCTGCTGGATCAATCCCTTCTCCCTCCCTCATCCATGTGAAACCCAGCAGGCAAGACAGGCTAAGTGCTGGAAATGGGTCTGTAAAATCACCAGGATTTGTTTTTTTTTTAAACTGAACACATAATTTGGTTCTGCTGGATCAGTCACTTTTCCCTCCATCATCCACAAGAAGGCCTGTCTTGCCTGCAGGGTAAGTGCTGGAGATGGGGCTGTAAAATCACCAGGATTTGAGGGTTTTTTAAAACCAAACATGTAGTTTGGTTCTGCTGGATTGATCCTTCTCCCTCCCTCATCATTGGCTGTCAGTGTCATATTTTCTGGAAAAATCCCTTTGCCAGGATTTCTTCTCCTGGGAAGCTGAGAAGCCTCAGAGAAAAATGAAAGCAATAATTATCTGATTGCTTCTCCTGTGTTTTGCTGCTTTGGAATGTGGTTTGGAGACTGTTTAACAACAGGTTTGATTGGTTTCATGTGAATTGTTTTGACTTAATGACCAATCACAGCCCAGCTGTGTCCAGGCTCTAGCAAGAGTCACAAGTTTTTCATTAGTATCTTGTTAAACCTTCTGTCTGTATCTTCTCTCTATTCTTTAGTATAGTTTTAATATAGCATTCTTTAATATATTATCATAAAATAATAAATTAGCCTTCTAAGAACGTGGAGTCAGATTCTCAATTCCTCCTTCATCCTGAGGACCCAGCAAATACCACAATTGGCTTTCCCAGATCTCCAGGAGCAGGCTGTGTGTCCAACCCATCCCAAAGACAGCCAGCTGCTGCCTCAGATAAAGCCAAGCTCCTAAAAACTGTTTCTTAGCAGATTGTGATAGGTGGAAGCATCCTCCCCTTCACTCTTCTTTGTTCCCTGGTCAGACAGAGGAGCAATAAAACCTGGTACATTGGTTTTAAAGGAACTCCTGACTTTCAGGTCCAATATCCAGGCCACTACCTTGACTTTCATTTAACACTGTTCCTTTGTGTTTCTCCTTTCCTGGTGTGGTTCTTCCACTGACTTTAAATCTGTTCATATGCTCTCAAAAAGTGAACTCCTGGTCCTTTTATTTTAATCCATAAATTTATTGCACTGTCATGTTCTCTCCTTAAAATCAGGCAGCCTTTGTCCTATGGAGGATGCCTGGAACTGGCACTGGCTGTTCCTTAGTGCTTCTCTTGGGGGAAAGGCAAAGTGAGATCATTTCAGCTGCAAGGCTGTGATTTGTATCCTCCAACTGTTGTGTTGTTCTGGCAGAACAAGGTGCTTGGCCCCCCTGACCCAGTGTCCTTACCCTGGTGTGTTTCCTTTCAGAATGCCAAAGCACTTAAAGCGAAGAAGGAAGATGGGAATAAAGCATTCAAGAAAGGCAACTACAAACTAGCATATGAACTGTACACAGAGGCACTAGGAATAGACCCAAATAATATCAAAACAAATGCCAAACTCTACTGCAACAGGGGGACGGTTAATTCCAAGGTAAGGGGTGTTGTGTGGATGGTGTCTGTTTCCAAATCCCTCACCATGGCAGGGATAAACCACAGCTGAGTTATTCTGGAAAGCACAGGCTCTCCTGGCTGCTGGGCAGCTGCATCTCTGAGGCCATGGGCAGTGTTTCAGGGCTTTGTGCTTGCACAACACTTGGAGCAGTTCCCAACAGCCAGCAGAAACAACTCCTGCAGAAACAAAACTCAAATACTTGGGCTGCATGGAGTGGGAGGGAGAGGAGGGATGTGCTTCAGCCTTATCTTAGTCAGCAAAAAGCACCCCTGTCTCTGTGTCCTTCCCAGGAATGAACAGATTTATTTTCCTTTTCTTTTTGTAAATCATGTCTTGCTTATTGTTATTAAAAAAAGAAAAAGAGACCTAATTTAAAAAAGACCTAATTTAAAGCCCCATGACACTTTGCTGTTGAATTTTAGTCCTGCACTGTCCAGGGAAGCAGCCAGTCATGTGGCAGTGCTCCCAATTCCCACCCTGTGTCCTCTGGGCACTTTGCTTCCTCAGCTGTCCCAGTGTTGATGCTGCTTCCCCAGACACCCCCACTTGGTCAAGAGACACAGGCTGTTCCCAAAACCTGGGAAGTGGGATGAGCTGGAGGCCACAGAATGCATGTCTTACACGTTTGTGTCTGAAAACAAACAACACTTTTTTGAAAAGACTTCTTTTAAATATTTTTAGGTTTATCTTCCTGCCCAGGAATTAGTTTGGACAGAGAAATGGAATTGTTATCAGACAGGCCCTTGGTTTTGAGTGCATTTCTTACACAGAAACACCACACAGCTCTGTCATGTCACTGGCCAAGCCTCTGATGGGTTTTTTTTTCCTCAGTGAACAAAAGCTCTGTGTTTGTGAGAAATTGGAAAAAAAAAAACCCAGATGGAGACACAGAAAGCAGTGAGATCTTCCCAGATTCTTCCCACCTTTCCTTAGCCTGGGGGCATGGTGCAGAGCTTGTTCTGTGTGTGGGGTTCACTCCTGTGTCTGCTGTTGTAGCTTAGGAAGCTCGAGGAGGCGATCGACGACTGCACGAACGCGGTCAAGCTGGATGACACCTACGTCAAAGCCTACCTGAGGAGGGCACAGTGGTGAGTGCACCCTGGCACTGGGCACCTCTGGGGACAGCACTGTCCTCCTGGCAGCTCTGAGGGGCAGCATCACAAATCTGGAGCTTGACTGAATAGAAGGAGCGAGGCCCTGAGTTTATTCCTCTTCCTTATGGTGCTGAGGAGATGGGGGTGGCTCTCTCTGGCCTCTCCTGCCTGCCTGGATCTGCCACTGCCTCTTGATGGTGTATTTATAGCATCATTTGGGTTGGAAAAGACCTCCAAAATCTTTGTCTTGCCTGCAGGATAAGTGGTGGAGATGGGGCTGTAAAATCACCAGGATCTGGGGTTTTTTAAACTCAATACATAGTTTGGTTCTGCTGGATCAATCCCTTCTCCCTCCCTCATCACTGCCTGGTGCAAAGGCACCAACCTTTGACCAATTTCCATCCTGTCAAGCAGAGCAGAGCACTGAGTACCACATCCAGTTGTTCCATGAACATCTCCTGGAATGGGTGATGTTCCCATGGTGGCTCCACCACCCCCCTGGGCAGCCAGTTTCAATCCTGATCACCCTTTCAGTGAAGAAATCCTTCCTCATGTCTGATCTGAACAGGATTTAGGGAGGATTTGTTCTAAGACTTGATTCAGCTCACTGTGTTTATAGACTGATTGTTTATGGGTGTTCTGTCCCACAGAGCCCCTCTCTCTCCATTGTCTGCAATTGCAAATTCACAGTAGTTGGAAAAGAGATTGAAAAAGACCTGCAAGATCAATCTTTTCCAGCCTCCCATCTCTGTAATTTCTAAGCTACAGTGAGTAAGGCTGAGGGGTGACAGACAGACTTGTGTCCCTCAGAGGTGCCAGGATTGTCACTCCTGACCAGCACTGCCTCTGTGAAGCTCTGTGCCAGCTCTGACTGTGCACCAGCTTCCTGTAGCTCAGGCTGCCTGGGATCAGTTCCTGCAGCTGCATATTGGAATTATCAGGCTGTTAAAGCAGAACTTTCGCTGCCAAAGGAGTTTTCAGTGTCCCCTTGGAGCACAGAGTGCAGGTTCCTGTGCAGGCTTTCCCACAAGTGCCAGGGCTCCTCTGAGGTCTGACCTGCTGCAATCCAGAGCATTTCTCTTAACCCACATCCACCCAGACAGCCTGTACTGAATCCCTTCTGATGTTCCTCTGAAGGACACCTTGGCCACCTGTGTTTCTTTCCACAGTTACATGGACACAGAGCAATATGAAGATGCTGTAAGAGACTATGAGAAGGTTTATCAGACAGAGAAAACAAAAGGTGAGCACAGAAGCACTCTGTGTGTGTGCACAAATTTCTCTGAATTGACATTATTTTTGTTGTTCCTTTTTTCCCCCCACAATATGCTGTGATTTGCAGCCTAATACCCCAGCAGGACAATTTGGAGAAGTCCTCAGAAGCACTGGAAACCTCTGCTCTGGTTTCTCTCCCAGCTCTGAATGCTGAGGTGATAATTCACCTTGTGTCTGGGTTCAGAATGTCTGGTTTTGGTTCTTGTCTTGACTGTCCCCTTGCTTTTTGAGTGGCCTGAAGTGCAAGGCATGGAGTAACTCCTCCCCTCTGGTGTTGTGCTCCTTTCCAGAACACAAGCAGCTCCTAAAGAATGCACAGGTGGAACTGAAAAAGAGCAAAAGGAAAGACTACTACAAAATCCTGGGGGTGAACAAAAATGCCTCTGAAGATGAGATCAAGAAAGCTTACAGGAAAAGAGCACTAATGCACCATCCAGGTACCCCTGCAGCCCCTGTGTGCCCTGTGCAGCCAGCACTGAGGCACAAATGTGTGTGGAAGAGGGAATTCCTGGGAAATGGCATCTCTGACCCCACAGATCTGGAGCAGGAGCTTGGGAGTGTTTAACATTATCCATTTGCACTAAAAATGAAACATTAACATTGGGAGCCTTTAACTGAAAATGAAACATTAACATTGGGAGCCTTTAACTGAAAATGAAACATTAACATTGGGAGTGTTTAACTGAAAATGAAACATTAACATTGGGAGTTTTCGACTGAAAATGAAACATTAACATTGGGAGCCTTTAACTGAAAATGAAACATTAACATTGGGAGCCTTTAACTGAAAATGAAACATTAACATTGGGAGCCTTTAACTGAAAATGAAACTTAAACATTGGGAGTTTTCTACTGAAAATGAAACATTAACATTGGGAGCCTTTAACTGAAAATGAAACTTAAACATTGGGAGTTTTCGACTGAAAATGAAACTTAAACATTGGGAGCCTTTAACTGAAAATGAAACGTAAACATTGGGAGTTTTCTACTGAAAATGAAACATTAACATTGGGAGCCTTTAACTGAAAATGAAACTTAAACATTGGGAGTTTTCGACTGAAAATGAAACATTAACATTGGGAGTGTTTAACATTGTCCATTTGCACTGAAAATTAAAAGCTTTTTCCTGCTTGTTTGTGCATCCCCAGACAGGCACAGTGGAGCAAGTGCAGAGGTACAGAAGGAAGAAGAGAAGAAATTTAAGGAGGTTGGTGAAGCCTTTACCATCCTGTCAGATCCCAAGAAGAAGGCTCGCTATGACAGTGGGCAGGACTTGGAAGAGGATGGATTAAACATGGGAGGTCAGTGCTCTTTATAACACCCTGCCATGGCAGCCTTTAACCCTTTAGGGTCTGCCTTACCCCTAGAGCAAGCCTGCTGTTGGGAATGGTTCCATGAATTGGCTTGGTTTAGTCCCTGACAAAAAGTTGGGGTGAACTGGGTGGTTCTAGCTGGGAGCAGCCTGGGACACTGGTGGGTGTTGGCTCAGCTGGTGGGCAGAAATCTGTCACAGAAAATGGTAAATAGTGTCATTGTGAGGCCCTAAATGCTGCTTCTCCAGGTCCCTAGGCTGCCCTGTGCAGGTTCTCTCTGCTTTACCTGTTTGGGGTCCCTTCATGGCCCTGGGGAGCAGCCCTGAGTCCCCTTCTGAGACACTCTGGAGCCTCAGTGAGCTGACAGCTCCTGAGCTGTGGGAATGTGATGGTTATTGGCTGCAACTCATGAATTCCTTCTCTTCCCTGTAGAATTTGATCCAAATAACATCTTCAAGGCCTTCTTCAGCGGGCCAGGGGGCTTCAGCTTTGAAGGTAGGTGAGATGTTCTCCTCCTCCCAGCCTGGAACTGTGAGTACACAGAGCCCCTGGCAGGGCAGCTGGGGCTCCCAGTGGATGTGCTGCTTGAGGAGAGCATTTGGCTGGTGCACAAATCTCTTTCCAAGTTCTGCCTGCACAGTGGCAGCTGCTTCTGGTTCTTCTGGGTTCCAAAGCCACAAACCTGGGGACTCCTCCTTCTGGAGCTGTGTGTGGCCTTGGCCCATCCACGTGCTGCTTAGGTGTGCACTAAACCAATTGGGATTTTGTAAAGTCCTGATTATTTTCCGTTTTCTTTTTCAGCTTCTGGGCCTGGAAATTTCTTTTTCCAGTTTGGCTAAGAAGCAAAACAAACACAAATCAAACCACACATACCTGATCTGCTTCTTTTAACCTCGAGTATGGACAGCCCCAGACTCCTCCTCCATCACGTCTCGTTGTCCTTTAGAGCAGTTTCATTTCTGGGTTGGAGCCTCTGTTTGTGTGTTGTGTGTGTGAAGAGGAAACCAGCTCGGGAGGGGAAGGCTTGTGAATTTTGTTTTACTGTTAACTTTATTAAAAAAAAAAACTGAAAAAAAAAAATAAAGCTTTGAATCTTTTGGTCCCTCCATGCTGGCCCGTGCTTTCAGCTGCTTCTGCCCCTCAACACAGAGGATTTCCTGGAATCTTCCCAGAATCTCCACATGTGTGAGGGAGAAAGAATTCCTGGTTTGTTTTTGGTTGCTTCCAAAGCAGCATGTCCAGGGTTTGGAGTAACTTGTAAGTTATCTTAATCTTTTGGAAATACTGCCAAGGCTCAATCCAGTTTTGTACAATCCCATTTCACCTGCAAGCCTGGCTTCTTGGCTCTTTTTATTTGGTTGTTTGTTTATTTTTTTCCCATGGTTCTCCCAGCAAGGCCCACTTGGGCATTAAACTTCTGTGATAACATGTGAGCTTACAATTCTGTATCAGAGAAATGCTGCTTAGAGTTCAAAGAGCAGCTCATGTGAGAATTCCCTGTGATGCAGCTGGAATTAAGGGCTTTGTGTTCCCAAGATTGTCCTGTTTAAGGGAATATTGAATTTGCTCTGGGCTGAATTCCTTCACTGTACTTTTTTAAATTAATCCACTTGAATATTTTATATTTGTGCTAAACTTGATTTTTGTTGAGCTTGATGTGTGATTTCCTGTTACTGATCCATGACATGGGTGAGTCTTTCAATGCCAGGTGAATTCCAGGCAGGGATGGTGGGTGCTTTGGGATGTGCAGTGTTTAGTTAACCTGGTTGTGTGGTTTTCCTCTGGCAGTGATTTACTCCTCCAAAGCAGCAAGAAAATGCAAAGTCCAGCTCTGAGCTGGCAGTCTGTGCTTTTCTCTTGTGCAGTGTCAGGACAGGAGCTGGAGGGATGGATGAGCTTCTGGCCTGGAGCTGTGCCTGTTAGCAGTTTGATTTTCACCTAAAAGGTGATTTTACAGCAAAGTCTCAGCTGGGAGAGAGCTCTGCTTCTGGAATTGCCCCCTTTTCTGCACAGCATGGTCCAGGTGCCTGTGTGAGCTCCTCTCTGCTGGGTTCTGGAGCTTCCCTTGTGCTCAGCCTGGGATGTTGGGGAGCACAGGGGCTGTGGCTGGGGGTCCTGGGCTGGTGCTCAGAGAGGGGCACAGGGGCTGTGGCTGGGGGTCCTGAGGGGGGCACGGGGGCTGTGGCTGGGGGTCCTGAGGGGCACAGGGGCTGTGGCTGGGGGTCCTGGGCTGACCCTGCCAGTGTGGGGCTGTTGGAGATGGAGTTTGCTCACAGGATGGGTGTTTGTGCAGGCTGGGCTGTGCTGAGAGAACCTCCCAGTGACTCTTTTTGCTTTCCCACAGCAGAACAAACCCTGCAGGGAGCTCCTTGCACCAGGTGATCACTGGCAATGGCTCCTCTTTGTCTTCCTCCCTCCCACCCCAGGGCTGGGTGTGCCCTCCAGCAGGACAGGGACTGTGAGTTCCATGGTGTCCTGGTCCTGCTGTGGTGTTTGGTCAGGATTCTTGACAATCTGCTTAAATAGAGGGAAAATTTAAGGGCTTAAATTTTAGCACTGCAGAATAGAATATTTTACAACTCGTTTGAAACTCAGCTTTCCTAAATGAACCAGTGCTGAGTAATACTTTCCAAACCTGACTCTCCCACGTTTGTTCAAGTCCTTCACACCCATGTGAGGGATGGGCCCACCCAGGTGCACCAAGAGCAGCTGGGTCCTGGCACTTTTCAGGCTCTGAAAGGGTGAAAACGTGGGGAACTGAAATACTGGTCTATGCACACTGATGCTTCCTTCCCCAGCTTTCCTGGCACTGTAATCTGAGTTTACAAGAGTTTAGTGGCATTTTGGTTCCATGACATCTGGTCCTGTGTGTGTGTGTGTGTCGATGTCACTGTACAGTTTGGGCTGTTCTCAGTCTCTCATTGCTGAGCAGAGCCATGTTCTGTGTCTGTCAGTGAGTTTATTCTCATTTTCCCCTGCCCCAGGGACATGTGAGCAGTTTCCTTCCTCCCTTCCTTCTCTCCAAGCTGCCTGAGCCCATTCCTTGGAGCACAGGAGTGGAATGGCTCTGCTTCTGGGAGAGAAAATGTATACAGCAGCTATTTATAACCTGTACATGAATGCATGATTTAATGTAGTTAAATATTCATATGGTGAGTGCCAAGACTTTCTACAGCACGTTGTTACGTGAATCAAGGTGAAGGCAAATGCACAGAACCATGGAAGGGATTGGGCTTGAAGGCCTTTAAAGGCTGTCAAGTCCAACCCCTGCCATGGGCAGGGACACCTTCCACTAGGCCAGAGTGCTCCAGGCCCTGTGCAGTCCCTGTCCCCTGGCACAGAGCAGGGCTTGGTGGCACCTGGCACCTCAGGGCAGCAGCAGTGTCCAGTGGCACTGTGACCCCACCGTGTCCCAGCACGGCCTGGGCAGACAAAACTCTGCATTTTCCAAAAAATGGGCTCAGCTGTGCATTGCTTGGAGTGTTGCCTCCACACGTGGTGGTTCCAGCACATTGTCCATGGGTTGTGCTTGGGTGTAGCTGCAGGGAAGCTGAGTGCCAGTGCCCCAGCTACCCACAGGTCCTGGTGCCACCAGCCCCACAGAGCCACCAGCCCCACAGAGCCACCAGCCCCAGGGATTTGCCACAGAAACCACAAATGAGCATCCTCAAGTGGTGCTGTCCCAGAAGGACAGAGAGCACACGGAGGTGAAGGAGGTGGTGGCATGGACACTTTGGTGTGACTCTCAGCCTGGGCTCTCCAAGGGGGAATGGCTGGTGCTGTGAGAGCTGCTGCTCTCAAGAAAGGCCTGGAAAGAGCAGAGCTGCTGTGGCTGAGAGCCAGACCAGGCTGGTGTGCCAGGGGCTGTTTTCCAGCAGCTGAGTTGGGAGTGGATGCTCTGAACAGCTCGAGAGCTTCTCTGGGAAAGTTGTGAAGAGAAGTGTGTGAGTGTGGCTGTGGGCAGAGCTGGCATGTGAGGGCTCTGCTGTAGGACTGCAGCTTTGGCAGGGAGATCAGCAATTGTGTGGCTGTTAGGCTTTGCCTTGGATGTGGTTTTGTCCGGCCATGCTCAGAGCATCATGGAATAGTTTGGGTTGGAAAGCTGTGAAGTCCATTCAGGAGGTTCTGGCCACCCTCTTAAGCTCCCTCATTGCTTTGGCTGCACAGGAATGTACCTGATTTGATTTGATCCTGGGAGTGTTCAGTGAGCAGGATCCCCAGTGCTGCTGGCTGTTGTAAATGCAGAAATGCAAGTTGGAAAATGGAAGACAAATTGTTCAGGTACAAGAGTATTATCCATGGAACAGAATGGCCCCTCCACTCTGCATCTGCTGAGATACAGAGTGGACACTTTGTGGTGTGTCTGAGATGGAGGCTGGGGCCAGTCCCTGTCCAGCCACGCTGGCCCTGGACCTGCAGCCATCCAGCAGCCCCAGGGCTGGGCCATGTGCTGCTTTGCCATTTCCAAATGACCTCCTCAGTTTCAGTAATAACTCCAGATATTCTCTTATTTCTAATGGATGGTTTCCATCCTGTCTAAATTTGTGCCTTGTCCTTTCCCCTCCTCTTCCCTAGGGAACAGGACAACTGTGTGCTGCACCCTGGAGCAGTGCTGGTCCCTGGGCAGCTGTGGCAGGGGTGGGTGGCAATAGAGCTGGTGGCTGTCCCTGCCCTTGGCTCTGTGGGGCCATTCTGGGTCCCTGCATGACTGTGAGAGCTGATGTGAAACTCTTTGGCCTTCCTGGCCCACTCCCAGCATCATGGATGGGGTTATCCCTTCTTGGAGCAGCGCTGGGCATTTTCCCTCACCCAGATCTGAGCTTGGAGGGACAGCTCTGCTCTGTTGCTGGAGTATCCATGGGGAGCCCAGAGGGACTGCCCAGCCCTGCTGCCACCCCAGCCCTGTCCCCAGTGTCCCCTGATGGCTCCTGTGAACAGAGTGTGGTGTGAGGCAGCATCCCAGGGCCAGGGGGATCGCAGAGCCCCACAGTGCACGTGGGTCACAGCTGTGGAACAGTCAGGGCAAATCCAGGCACCGATGCGAAGCCACTCGGAGAGGAGCTCGTCCCTGCGCTGCCGTGTTTATCTGAACTGGAATTGGGAATGTTTACCTCAGTGTACATAGCTCAACCTTTCCCTGGGAGGAAAGGGGAATTGCATGGAGCAATTGCTGTCCCATTGCTTTGCCAAACTCCTCATCCTCTCCCAGCCGGGCTCCGCATCGGTACCAGCTGTCCCTCTTGGACCTTTCTAGGATGTGAATGGTAAAAAATGTGAATATTTGTTGTTTACTTCCTTAGCAGAACTCCTGATGCCGTGTTTGTATGGGAAATCAGCCTGAGCAGACCCATATGCAATCGGTTTTACTTTATTATAAACTGTATATGATGTACAAACTAATAAAAACTCAAACGACGACAATGTCACTGTTGTTCTTGAACAGGCAGGTGAAGGAGATATTCCAGCTGTGTATTCTGGTGCTGGAGTGATCTGGGCACTGGGGGTGTGGGCTCAGCCAGCCCCTGAGCAGGTGCTGGCAAATCCCTTGTAGAGCTTTGGTGGAACAAACCCTTGAGGTTCTGTCAGCTGCTGCCAGTGTGGAAGGTTGGAGGGATTTCTCCAAGAAGGGTCACAGGTGCTCTGGGTGGGTTTATAGCTCACTATTTTATGGTATAATGAGAATTTATTCTTATCCTTTGCTTCTGATCAGCAGGAAGTATTTTGCTTTCATGGCAGAGTGTTTGGTAGCAGAAAAGCACCAAAGCTCTCCCTGCTTTTGGCCTCAACAGTCAGAGAGAAACGCTCCTTGCCCCAGCAACATTGGACTCAGGGTGAGCTGTGCCCAGCCCCAGCCCAGGCCTCAAACACAGTCAGTATTTACAGTGTTAGTTGGGTTAATGTCACTGCTGCTCCCCAGAGCCTGAGCCAGAGCAGGAGGTCGAGCTGGGACCTGCCCTGGGGCTGTTAGTGGAGCTTTGTGTTAAACAATGCCCAGGAGCCACCGCCCTGCTGGGCCAGGGCCTGGCAGAGCACAAACCCAAGTTTCAATAAAACAGATTTAATGACACAAGTGCTGGGTCAGTAACTTCCAGCTGGGGTTTAGGTTCGAGCAGACATGAGTTACAAGGTTACAGTGCCTCCACTTCCTACACTACGGGGTTACTCCAGCCTAACTCTTAACATTCAAGTGCATTAGAGGAAGGGAGTAAAATCTTGCATGAAGTCCAGTCGTGTACTTCAGACATGATTTTAGTTTCTATCAAATAAGATGGAAAAGATGTTAGTTCATCTCTTCCACTCCCTGCCAAGGCAGGATTGTTCCCTACAGGACACGGGATGGTGCTTGGTCCAGCCCAGGTGGAGGGAAGTGGCTGGAGCTGCTTTGCAGGAATTGGCTCCCTGTCCTGGTGTTTCACTTGATTTTCCCAAAGTTGGTGTCTTTAAGGCATCACCTGGCATAGTGCCCTCCTCCTGGCTGTCCCAGAGCATCTCTGCTGTGAGGGACAGCAGCTGGGATGGAGCCCACTGGGGGCAGCTGTGATTAGGGCTGCCAGG